CAAAGCACTGCATTAAACCGAGACTCCTCTGGGATGTTTTGACGTTATCCGATTAATCCGAAGCAGTTCTGTTATTGATACCTCGCCTCTAGAATGGGTCATGTTCCACCGCATTGTCCCAGGTATTCAATGAAGCTAGAGTAAAAAGACAACACATGACTTGTAAGAATACCAGAAGAAATCAGTAGCCACGACCATCATTATATACGTTATCCCAGAGGCTGGAGGTTTCGAGGAGCGCGAAACGCCCACTCACGATCAGGAACCGTAGCACTGAATTCAAAAGACATTCCTGATAAGCGTCATAGCGCAATCGATCTCGAGGCTGCGCAGCTTGCCAACCTACAATGGATGTGGTCCGAGGATTGTGAAAATGGGGCTTCAATCCAGACAAATGTCAACAGGAGTGTTATAGTACTGGTGTGCGGGTAGCAATAGCCTAACTGTCATGCTCCGGACTAGGGTAGGGTCTCCTAAACAAGCACACGGAAGCATAAATTTAATCGGACCACCTCGCGACAACGGTTTGGACAATATCACGAATGGTGACCGACGTTCCAACCGTCGAAACAAAATGGCATTCAAAACAAACGGACTCGTACTCACTGCTGAGAGCAGAGAAACATTCCTGTAATCGCAAATTTGTACAATGTCCCACGAACAAGTTTGTCTAAAGGTACCTACTTCAAACATTTTATGCCTGGGACCTCATATTCGAAACGAAAACTTGGTTACACTTTGAAATTACCGACCTCGAAGTCGAGATACGTAGCGTGTCCTATCGAAAACCGCTCTAGAAAGGGCGGTGAAGTACCTTTATATTACCACTTTGTCCTGCAGTGCAAATCGGAGTCCGTCCCGTAAACAATGAGCATGGACGCACTCGGGTGCCTTTTGCGACTGCGACGAAAGGACAGGCCTAATGGCAGTTGTTTATTGTTCACCGACGTCCACGCCAGAGATTGACACCCGCTTAACATTAACCTTGGGGAGAGGCTTGCGATGACGATGCAGCCACGTTCTCATGTCAGGAAACCTCAGTGTTCACGATCTGGAAGCTCCGGCATCCCCAGCGAAAACTTCAAGGCCGATCTGAAGGCGATTATTACATGAACTGCGCTCTTTATCCGTGTCAGTTCGCCCACCCGATTCAGAGCGGAGACTAAATAATCCGTGCTTGGATTTCGGTGTTACTGTAGCCCATCATCGCACTCTCTGATCGAGCGGTTTCGTCCTCGTTTGCACTCGTCAGCTAGAGACAGTCTGATCTAGGGTTGGAACTCAGGACGTGTGATTGGGGGCTATAGCCGTGACCACCAGGCCATTAAGCTCCGCGATCTGTGCTTGGCTAAGTGCAAACGAATGAATAGCTCATGGTTGAAAATTTAAAGGTGGTGAGTCTTTCTGGGGCTGAGTAATCACGCAACATTGCTTTACGAACATTCACGCCATTCGGGATATACAGGCGAACAAACTGACTTGTTTCGATAATCTCACACTGCGAAATACTAAAAGAACTTGTTGGGGAATCCGTCTGGGAGTTTCCGAATAACAGTTCCCTCAGTACAGCCTGCATAGAGTCTGCTGGCAAGTTACTTGCTCTGATTACTTCCGCATCAGAAACAGACCCCTTCATCCTTCATGAACACCCTTAAGCAATCAAAACAGAACCAGCAAACACATAGTGGTAAGAGACGCAGCGTGGCATGTGTATAGAGCGAACCCTAGTTATGGCAACTAGATCAACTATGTGGTGCATCGAAATCATTGTACCACATTTGTCCGTAAGGATGTATTGAAGCATCAGCATTGTCCAGTGGTAAGGTTTTGTGCTAACAAAGAGCTTTTTTACGAACTTGTGTACAGCCAGCGGAAAATGAAGCGCGGTGTTCCTCCACTCATCTCACTAAATAGATGTGGGCAAACCTCCGAGGATGCAGCCAACGCTCTGCGGCTCCAAAATGCCCCAACATTTCCTATATCTGTCCTCTTCTGTATGACGTCAGTATTTACACACGTCATTGTTTAGTTCAGCGAAGGTTCTTATGAAGTTGCTACAGTTAAAGACCCGTAGTTCCCCTACAGCTTTGCAGATAGCAGCTACCAGGATAGCTGGATCATTAACCCGACTTTTTCAGAGATGCTTGCATGAACAGCAGGTCCCCAACGTGTGGAAGCAGGGTATCATTACCCCGAGTTTCAAGCGTGGTAGTCGTTTAGAGCCCGCCAACTATCACCCAGTGATTCTCCTCCAGGTGCTCTATAACTTGCTGAAGTTGATCACGGCTGTGGCATTAATGGGTTACCTGGACAAGACTAACACCATAGCGCCGAAGTAACACGAATCCGTCAGCATCGGTAATGTACTACCAACCTATTGATTGCGCGTGGTAGATGGAGCGAAATAGCCAATAGTTGGACCGGAACTGACGTTATCTATCACGACTGTTTCAAAACCTTCGACAGATTAGGGAACCGAAACGGGAACCATGTCCTTGGATGGATCAGAAATATTGAGCTTCAGCGGCGGTTTCAGCTTCACATCACGGTCCGGGTTCTGGGCACATTTTCTGATCTTACTGAGGTGTACTGCAGTGTTCTACAAAGATAACTGGTATAGCCATGCATATTCTTGTTCTCCATTAGAGATCACATGTGTGTCCGAGTCGAAACTTCTGCTTTTTGCCGATGACAGCCACACATGGCGGGCGATCAGTAATTCGGAAGATCAAGATCTGCTGCAACTGGTCCGGAACGTGCTTTTGTAAGCGCCTAAGAAAATCGACCTCAGTTCAACCCAAGCGAGAAAATGTGTGCTACAAGCCAGTTAACACATAGAAGCTTGAAGACCGCGTCACAGGAGCCCAACCTTGGAGTAATGATACAAAATGTCGAGTATTCGACGCAGCCCATAAAAGCTTCGAAAGCCGCGAACAAGCATGTTGGCCTCCAACTTAAAGTGTTTGGACGGTTTGACTCCTCCATCTTCCCTCGAATGCTCAACACATATGTGAGGCCCCAAGTCCCGTACGTGATTCAAACCTAGCAGTCTTGATTAAAACTCGTTCTGGCTGCACTGGAGACTGCACGGCGAAGAGCAACCAAAAATGTGAAGAGGTTGTTCCATCTTCCATACCATCTACGAATGAAAGACTTAGGAATGTACTGCAGAAGTTAGCATCGTCGACAGAGTGACCTCATACCGGCTTTCCATATGTTGAAAAACCCTGATCATGATTGCCGCTAACTCCTGAAACATAGCCGCAACACACAATTGAGGGATCACGGGCTGAAATGGCTTACCCAATGCAGTCGGCTGGAATGCCGCCGGGATTACTTTTCCCTTCGAATTTGCCTACCGTCGAACTTCGACCTTCGACATTTCTGCGCCAACGCCACCAATTTTCTAAAATAAAGACAACGCGTCGCATTATCTCCATTACTTGATCTGATTTCTCTTTATTGAGTGCCGACAAGACTCAGATATTGTGCTCACCAACCCCATGAAATCGGGGTAAGCGGATTTACTTGTTTGTTAAAGTGGATACTATGATAAATCTACAGACGTGCGTTTCCATTTAGTGTCACAATTTTAAACCTATTTAGTTTACACAAATCACCCTACGGGACTTATCAATCCTTGACTTCCTCACCCGTATTATCCGATTGTTACATTGCTCCATTTTTTCTTCGTATCTAGTCTACGTTCGTGTAACGTTACTAAAACTCGAATGCTATTGCATGGAGAATCGTCCAGCTCCGATGAGTTTTACCATAGGGAGCCACGCTTTATTGTTGGATCCCTTCGTCTAGAAGGCAAAATAATTGTCATGTAACTTTTCCGCACCAGTCAGGAAACTTGCATCCCTCCATAGTCACAGTTGCTCTTGATAGTCTAGTTATTGCTGAAGTTGCAATTTCAATATTGACAAGGAGATCACATTGTTATCTACGAGTTTACGCAAGTTCCCGTGGGAGCTTTCTGCATCCTAAGCCATACGCTGAAGATTATCTCTGTGGGATATAGTGTTTTTCATTTAAAGCTACGTCGCCGATTTTGGGACTATCGTCAGGTATCCGTAGGCTTAAGTAGAAGACACCACAAAACTTATAACACTGCTCCGTAAATAGATGATCAATCGGCGCTCAATGAAAAGCATTTAGCTAAAATGAAATGGACTTCGATATTCCTTTGTAAGCGCTCATATGATTAATGATGAGTCGCCGCTCAAAGGTCACTAAGCGCTCACCTGTGCTTTGAGTAGATTGGATCACCCTTTACATCTACGTCGTCTACAAAAATTTCTAATAATTAGGGGATTGTGCTTCAAGGAAGCAAGTCATAAAGATCCTAATCAACTCGCAGCGTGTGCTTTCGCTTGAGACGACGCACCCAGTGACATGGTGTAGAGCTACCCGAAAATAACCGCTGAGTTTCACCGGGATCTTTATTTATTTACTCATTATTGAGCCTTAGATAATGCTTTATGAATTGCGAATACTTAAAGCATAAATCTCTTGGATTTACCTTACTCTTAGTGACCTAATCAAGAAAAATAATGTCTGTTCCATTATTAGGACCGTGTTTGAAGCAGATATGAAATGGGTGTTACCCGTCAGAAAACACAGCACTTCATTACGCTTTTCAACCTTGATTATCTCAGCAGGTGGAGATAGCAGGACCACTGAGATATTAGTTGAAACTTTTACCCTTTAGCCACCGGGTCATGCCGGGCAGCGCTTGGCCCAACGATTCATGACTGACTGCAACGTCATTTTGCGGTACCCGCCTGCCGATTGGATTGCGTTGTGTAATCTCGACTTGCAATGAAGAGCGATTTCGCTAATGTGATCACTAGAATCGTAGGTGAAGTGTATGAGAATTGGGTGTTGCCCGCCAGAGAACGCTCCACTCCCCTAAACCTTTCAACTTTGATCGCAGCAGTAATCTAAGCCAAAAAATAATAAGTGTTCCACTAATTCCGTGACCTGCTACTCACCCTGTGTGTGCGTTGTTTTTTGCATCTTCCAGCAGAGCGTCAATCTTTTCGTCTAGTTCTTTATTTGCGGTTACCCCAATTCCAACATTTGATCGCTCGGCTTCTTGTTTCAATCTCTTGGTCGTTGGACTCGTAGACCTTGTCAGAGAATCGTTGTTGTTTTCCACGTACTCAGTTCCGGCGATAGTGCCCCGCTTTTCTTTACCGCTCATATTGAGATTCCTTCCTGCGATACTCACCATGTGCTCCTTCTGAGGGACCTGTTCGCTCGAAAGTTGCTTCTTTACGTACGTCTTCGTAGCGTCTGAAATATATTGCGCAAAGGGGTAAGGGTCACAGTTGAATATTTGAATTCTGCACATCACTGCTGCAATCCACAGACTGGAGTAGAGGTCAAAACTGCAACAATGTGGCAAGCGGCAACTCACTTTGAGGTACCTAGAGTGAAAGCATTTCAACCAGTCACAAATCAAAAAAACAAGGCCAGAAATGGGTAGTGGTACTATTTACATAAGTAAAGAAATAAACAAAATAAACAGTTTATTCCTTGGCGCTGTGGAGCATAGTCCAACTCAGCGTCCTGATCGATCTGTACAACGAGATTGCATAAAATAGTTAATTGTGTAAGTTTTGTATAACTAATCCCAATTGGGTTTTTGAGTGATTGGCAGTTTGAAGGTAGCAGTGTGATTAAGAAACTGGGTGCAACAATAGGTACGGATTTAGCTAGTTCAAATAAAAGAATACGGCCAACCATGGAACCGTCCTTAGGGGGACTTACTTCCATGCGGAGTATTTCCTCGGTGGGTTTGTCCCCCACTTCCATGCTCTAACTGGCTGTGTGCCAGTGGGGCAAAATAGCATGTAACCAATCACCTGTGTAATAAATCATTTTTATAAGTGTCGTATATGCTTACATTATGGGCGATGAAGCATCAAACGGTTGCGACTTGCGTATAATTCAAGTATGGCGCTTTTTTCTTAGAGACCTGTGAGTCAGTTGCAATATGCCTTGAATTGGTATAATATTTTAGCTTGGAAGATGTAACCTGTCACCTCAGAAAATCAGTCCACTTGTGGCCAACAACGCAAAGCAAGTAGTTGCTCTGGGGGCCATCTCTGTCCTCTGCACATACACAACATGCAAGACAGTGGAGGAGGAACCGCGCTATATCGCAGTTAGATATCAGTTATGGCCGTCCACTGCCGTCGCCCATGGCTCAGTGACATAGTTCGCTGACGCGCAAGTGTAAGGTCGTGGGTTCGAATACGGCAGGATTCGGAGGATGTGCGCTATTTACGAGTCCCAATAGGACGAACCAGCTGTCTAACGCTTTGCTGGATGTGTGGTAGCTGTCTGTTTGTGTCTAACTGCGACAAAGCTACACCAACACCTACTAAATCTCCCTTACTACGTACAAATGCCGTAAACTTGTTCAACCGCACTGAACTGAGCAGAAGGCGCATTAGGTGCAGTGTCGTTAACACAGACCGTGATTGGCATTCGATATGCAGGGGGCCACAGGGAGTGGTGGGGTGTAGGGTAAGCACAGGGTTAGAATGAAGCGCTCACATGCAGTGGCATCACAATTCTTCATACAAACGCGTTCCCCACATAGTGCTTCTGTGTGCCTAGGCCATCCCACTCTGTGCAGATAGCGTGTTTGTTGAGTAAGGGTACGCTTAATCAAAATTGGTGGCGCTATCTATTATCGTGCCTACAGGCTTCCCTCAGAATGTGGTTAGGTAAGGGCAGTGCAGCGGAAACCCTTTGCGGTTTGCTTGTATATCCAGATGAAGCGCATTTTCCGTTGTCTTAGTTACGAGCAACTTGAAAGTCAGGCCCTAGGCGACGTTGTACCAAGCAGACCATGATCCCACGTTGAATACTATTGAACATGTTCATAAGTTAACAACTTTTACATCACTTTTCCCTGTGATGCTCTTGAAAAGGTTGGATTATCTTACCGGTTTGGTTAGTTTACCTGTTCACCAAGGGGCTACAGAAATGTTCCAGCTGAGCATGTGGTGTAGTCTTAGATTATCACAATGGCTTACAACGCAAACCACTGGATGATCCAGAGATGCTGGTCAGCGATCCGCTATCGTTTTGTCTGCGTCTATGATACAGTGACAGCACTCTGTTGCCGTTCGCTTATCGCCCCCCATTACCCATTCCAGAGGTGCATTCAAGCCTAGTCTTGGCATTGACTAAAATATTACTTCCAACTTTACATTCACGTTATAATCCCGGGAGATTTCAGCATTTCCAAGCTGAACGCCTTAACACCTCCATTGAAAAATTCAAGACCAAACTGCAAGAGCCGATCGCCAGTATCCCACTGTACAAACGCATCATCTTATCTACCAGGTACAGAATTGCTAGCAAACCATCGGTACTGGAACTCGTATTTACAAATGAAGAAATCATGGTCGACAGGCCATTATTAGACAACTCACTAGGGCTGCGTAAACATGTCTCCGTACTTCATAACTATGTGTTTTACGCTGAATAGTAGGACGAACGCACGGAAGCAACATGTGTTATCACACGCTACAATATCCTGATGGATCTGGCTGCTATGACCGATTGTGACCAATTGAAATATGGCTCGCAGGACAGCGTCTGGATCTAATTAGTTGGAAGTTTTGCAATCTGATAGTAAATGCTTCAGAAACTAGGTGTATTCGTTCCACTAGGTCAGTGTGGTTCATTAGAAACAAAACACGAACAGGCGTGTCAGTAAGGAATGCAGCTTATCACACTTACAGAGCCTGTCCTGGTCCCGAAACCAGATACAAATACTTGACGCAGCGCAACCATTGTAATACTCTTGCCCGTGAGGACAAAGTGGCTCACCAACAAAAAGGTTCGTAATTTTGCCAAAAAAACTGTCTATATAAGCATGTTGAACTCATTCGCAGAGTAAGACACGTTATCTCCACACTGAACACGATTGCTGGAGTCGCACAGAGCGGTGAAGAATCAGCGAATGTACGACCACTGCATCATGCGCCTACATTTCAACAAGATGTCCATCAGTGTTACATAGCCAAATCCAACTCCGCGATTTCGGGACATACATCACTTTTACCACAGTTGTACTGAGGAAACTGTTCTCTCCGGGCACGAACAGTTCTCCCGAAATGGACGACTGTCACACGAGGGTGATAAACGTAGCAGCAACAAGGTTGGTCAAGCCATCACCGTATTTCTTTTAAAGGTGTTTGGACAAACGAACGGTGCTTATCACCTGGAACATGGCTGGATCACGCGGATAATTAAAGTGGCGGTCGCTCGAAACCCGCAAATCATCGCCCAGTGGTTCTCTTCCCTGTACTCTCAAGGTTGGTAGGAGAAACCATCGCTGAAGCTTTAGACGACTACACGGCCTCCATCAACGCAATTCAAGCAAACCAACCTGCCGCTTGCCCGCAGTAGTTGGACGGAAGGGGCCGATAAGGGCAGAGGGACCGACGTCATTTGCCTCGATTTATTCAAAGCCTTCGACCTCCTGGACCCCCACATACTGCTTCACAGGCTCGAAAGCTATGGATTTCAATATCTTGTCCATGAGTGGATCGGCAATTTCTTGCCGAAGCGGCAACTGCAGGTCAAAGTTCGGCTTGCGTTGTCCGACCTGATTCATATCGAATGCTCATTTTCATAAAGTACAGTTCTGGGCTCACGTCTGTTTGTCATGTTCATTAACGAGCTTACGAGTCTGATTGCCTCGGATACCTTGTTTTTCTCAGATGACGTTAAGATGTGGCCGGTGATCACAGACCAAGGCGAGCACGATGCACTTCAGCGAGAAGTGAACATAGCGTATGAATGATCACTGCACAATCTGTTCCAATTTAATTCATCTATAAAGTGGTCCACATTCGTCACCAACCGAACATCAAATACAAGCTTAGAGACCATGTCCTGCAAGCAGTCATCCAGTATTGTGAACTCGAGGTACTTTGGAAATTCTGAGAATGGGTCAAAGATTGGGAACCAACAGGTTGGCATGCTGCGGAGGGCATTCGAGCGATTGGATCCCACTAGCTGTTCGCAGTTGCTCAACGCAAATGTGTGGCATTATGTGGAATACGCAATCTAGGCCTTGCAGCCTTGGTAAAACAAAGACCACACAACACTCAAGGCTCCTCAGCGAACAGCCACAGAGCACGTCCAAGGGCTATTTCAACCTCCATATTAACTTAGGCCGATGGCGTTGATAGTATACAGTGGTCATTATCGATGCGCACCTAGCAACCTAATAATGTCTTACTAGATTTTGAGGAATCCAACCAGATCTGTCATTATCTAGTGAAACTCAACCATACTACCAATTTGTGGGGCCGCCGTCTCAAGTTGGCCATGCAATACAGTCGGCTAGAATGTCGGCAGAACTTTTACTTTTTTCGTGTCTGTCAGCCATGCAATGCCCTCCAAAATTGCATTGTTTCTGTTATCTGTTCTTAAAAAACCTCTTGATGTTCCCCTAACCCACCTACCTACATTACGAGAATTGGCCTGCGCACAGTGCCAGACGATATAATGGGACAATGTTACACAGCCAGCATTAAGTTACACAATCGAGGTTGGCTCATTTCTGCATGCCTCTGGGTGAACACTGTACTGAGTCCATCAAAACGCTTTGCAATTTCTCGCCATGTTTACTTTTCATCACTTTTCTGATGCTCTGTCTAACTATTCTACAGTAATCGTAAAACATTCAGTATTCTACCCGTAGCACTTCATTTTTCCATCATCATCGATGTTCGATACTGGATCCACTTATCACAAACCAATAAACATCTATCTAGCATATTTGAATACATTTCAGGTGTCACTACTGAGAGGGTGTTTGCAGTGAGCATCGGAACTGTGGTCCGAAGTAAATTCATAGAACGCAATCGAGTTCCCAGCATGTCTCTTAATCTGAAATTTATGAGTCATATGTATTTCATCTAGTTTGAATGCGTGTTCCTTTACAGCAAATCGACAAGTGGATGGATCCTTCGGGTCCAGCTAGTCTATTCCGTTACCTTCACACTACTGTCACCCGGGTTGTTAGATAGACCAACCATTTAAACTATTGCTTTTTTGTGCATGAGCAATCATGACTCCAACTGCTATTCTGAAACAAGATCACTAGTGGACGAACTATTGGTGTAACAAAACGATAAGCTCCCCCATTCAGCGCAACTGGTTAAGATGTGGATGTGCTCCGTAATTCCGATGGATCCGTCAGCAGTAAAGTGCACAGAAAGCACACATGGACTGGGCAATACACGAAGTTTCATAGTGCTGTACCGCTAAAACGCAAGAAAAGTTTGGCCCCATCTCTCGCCTTAAAGCTGTATAGTATTTGCACGCCGTAGATCGTGAACAAAGAATCGCAGAGAATCAGCGATGCGCTGAGAGAAAATGGCTATCCGGATAAATTTATCTCCAAGCACCTGAAGCCACGCAGACGCAAGCTACCTAGAAGTATTGCTCCCAAAAAAAACATTCTGTTCATGCACTTGATATCTAAGGGAGATTCCGCTGTTGTTACCCTATCATGACGCTTGTAAGATGCTGTTGAGAAGAATTATTTCGCGGCCCGATTGAGAATTGTTTACTATAACAAGCCATTGCTTACAAAACCCTTGGAGGATGAATTGCTCTCGTTGACCCCTTCATTGCTCGTTTATCGGTACTCGTGCTCCTGTGGTTCACGATATGTGCGTCGTACAGCGAGGCGCCTATCGCAGAGGATTTGTGAGTACATTTCGGCCTGGTTCTATAAAGGCGAGATGAGATCTTTAAACAGCTCTACTATGCCACACCTTGATTTTGGTCACATAGCCTATGGGGATGACTTCAAGGTCATGTACTCACTACCCGAACGTTTCACACAAGGCTTCCGCAAGCAGTTCCTAGCCATTGCTGAGGCTATTTACGTCCGCTGTCTAAACTCCGAACTGTGGATGTAAAAGCGGTACATGCGTAATTTACCACTTCCTTGGCCATTGTTAAATAACCATTTGATTGTCATGCGAGATGCGATGTTTTACCTTTTTTTGTCTTGCTAACCATCTACAGCCCAACCTTGAGCTACCGATAGTCTGTCCGAACAACCCAGCAATCAATTTTCAGCCCCATTGGACTCTAACAACACCTAATCTCTACCATGTAAACGTTTGCATCCGATAAGAGTTTATACGGAAAGAATTATTAACCAAACACTCATTTGATTTTGATTTGATCATTCAAATAGGATCTTATAGACTACGGCGAGTGCAGTCTAAGCCGTTTTAACTGCAACTTTCGAAATTCCTTGCCCGTGGCTCAGACAAAGCAAAAGTATACCACCAGATATGCTTTCCTCCACTGAGCCTTACTTAAGGCAGCTGAAGTAGTATATGATGGAATTCACTAACAAAAAACCGAAGGTAAAGAATTGTTTTGATGTCTCTTAATAATTAAATAGGAATTTTTCTGTTACTAGAATTCACTAAAGTGTAGAATGAGATTGTCACAGCTAACTTAGTAACTAAATATATTTGTATACTTATTTATAGGCTGTATACTACACCTAGCTGAGGGCGATCAATTGTACACAGCAGGGATCCTATGGCTTTCGTGTTTTAAAAGACAATAATAAAAGACAGCGAATTCAAATCATGCATTTTCGCGCACCTCAGCGACCCGATAACTCACAATGTATTAGTTCAGTATACATGTCTGTACCACTGTATTTACATTAGTTTCGTAGCGAAACTCGAGTACAGTCAGTGTTAGGGCGAGGGACAGTAGGGAACAGAGGTACAAGGTTCAGTGTATGAATAATTATAACGAAAAATTAAGTTGGTTGTAAGTTTATAACTGTTAATATTGCTGTTTCAGCCAGATTTCGTGGATGTTTCTGGAGATTGCTTTAACACATTCGATATGTTAGGGGAAGTCTCAAAGGTTGGGAAACTTGCTGGGTTTGCACTCGAGCCTATCTATAATGGTAGTTGATTCCACCAATTGGCAAATCTCACTATGAAAAAGTTCGACTGGATTTTAAAACTTGAATATGAGGACAAAAAACAGTCATGAGTCCGCAAAGAATAAGGGTTTCCCGCTGTCCAACCGTCGTACTACCTATTAAAACCCACATATTTATAATGTTGAAGAGAAGATAGAGGAATTTCCTCAATCTTGTCAGTTCAGGGGATCCAGTGAGGAACAATGGACAATGATTTATGCCGGGTAAAAAAGCAGCTGCTTGACAAGTCCCGCAGGATAGTGGGGGTACAAGTACAATTAGCAAAAGATAGGTGAGTTGTCTGTTTGGGCGTTTATCTAGCACATACTCCGCCGAATAACAGTAGTGTAACTGGTAATTGAATGCGAACGACGAGGCAATATGGGGGCTGTAATAGTTGATGTACTCCGTGAGAATAGTACAAGCAAGAATACTCACTTCTGTACCGCCTGCGCAAGTCTATGTGACATATTCATGTGGTCTCAAGGGATAAGTACTAGATTCCAAAGTAGCACAGTTTAGATAACGAAGTGACGGTGGACAAGGGCAAGACCCAATCGTTTTTTTGAAAATATTCATTTTGGCGGAAAAAACAATGAAGTTTAGGAGAGAGAGTTCCAGGGTTGTCAAACCCGAAGGAAAAGATAATTCCGCCGGAATTCCAGGCGCCCATACTGTGCACACAATTTCAGAGGGTTACCTCTGAGATTTGTGTTGTGGCTGAGTTTCGGCAAGTGACCGCATAGGTGATTAAGGCCACTCAATATTTGGTAGACTAATATGAGATCACCGCGCAGCCTTCGGTAACGGCCACTGAAAACTCCCAATGAGTTCAGCCTCTGATTGTAGGACTGATTTCGTAGGACCTTGAAGTTCCTTTTGTTCCAGTGTTGTGGTTTCTCTAGCACTTCTGAGTTGAGCTTCATCCAAAGTTGCCAAGCTTGGATGGCATACTCGTGAAAGCGCATGTAAGAATTGCGCATCTTGGGAAAAATGGATGGGTCGAAACTTCTGAGCTGACGACATCGAGCATATACGTCAAGTCGAAAGCTAACTTCACTTGTAGCAAATACTAATACAGCGTCTTGAAATTTCAACCAGATTCGCCGCCTTACCAAGACCTATGTTTGTTACCACCCTTTATTGGTCGTCATTTGGGGACATTGGACGGAACTCAACAACTAGACACAGTCATATAATGCTCGGTTGTGTCCAGCTGTTTGCGTCACGTTTAGGCAGTTTAACTTCCCTTAATATCTCACGGTAAATAATAGGATGCTCACATTTTATAATTAATTAGGTTAGGTGGAGCTAAAGTTTCTGAAGTTATTACTTAACTAAAATACCACGGTGGCCCCCTGCACTAAATTGGTTGGAAAGTTGGGGAAACGTTCTACCGTGTTATATCATAGCCAGTCACCTGCTGACTTAAATATATAGCTAACGCTTTAGCGTAAACATGTACGTTGTTGCTCGTAAATGTTGGGCATTAATTACACTCCTTTCACCGGATCCAAATGCGGCTCAGTATTGTTTGGTTCTAAAAGATGAAACCACTGTCAAGTAATCATCTAACTACAAGGTACTGACTAACGTCTGATAATTACAAAGTATTCTACTGAGATTACGAAGTAACCTGAAGCCATTTTCGTGTACTGGTTTAGGCCTATTAAAGGAACACTCATAATTAAAGAAGTTCAGCGCCCAACTAAAATACAGGCTAGCTGCCAAACAGATGCAGATAGAAACGCTTGGTTTCTATGCTTCTCGTATACTAAATGCTATACTTGAGCAGACGGAGGACAAGTAAGTGCTTTACAAAAATATTCTGCTCCCACAATGACCTTTTTAGCCATACGGGATGAAGCAAGAGACAAGTATAAGCATTCTGTAAGCTTGAAAATAATAAGGTTCGGTTCGCCTTAACAATAAAATCGTCTAACTAACAGTTCCACCTGTTGAAAATGTCAACACAATCTTTGCAAATTACAAATAACTATGACATTTTACGGGGACCTATTTCTGGTAATGCATTTAACTGATATTTTTTGAATGAGTAGACGGAACTTAACCAACAGTCGGTAAAATATCATCTTAAAAATAGTGGTTTCTGATCATTCAAGCAACTAGAACAAACTTTATCTCTTGAGCAGAAACCCGGTAACAATATAAACTCACTCACCTGGCGTGCCATTCACGTTTTGCGAGCTAAATGAGTTGTCCCCTGCTGGCTGGTCTAACAAACACTCCGGATAACCACGCTTGGTCACAAATTCGCGGCGCCTTAACTCCAGTATTTCAGCAGTAAAGAGATGTAGACCGTCAAGTGTTGACTTCACTGGAAACAGAGTTGTTTGTTTGTCGACAACCTGACGTAGTGCAACCGATAACGATTTGAATGTGGAGGCTGTATAGGGATAGGTGCAAATCAACAGTAGTATTCAGGGCTTCTAGCTTTAAGAGGTCTACTATACATATATGTTAAGGACGGCAATTACAAAATCTCTACGGCTGAGTCGCTCAATGGAAGTGGTCTACTAAGGCAAGGTCATGTGGATGAGATATCTTGATAACAAGTGCTCTATGCCTCATCAAATAAGCTGCCTCAGCCTTGCGTAAGTAGGCACTTAACGTAATCTCGTCGTTACTTTGCCATACTTATCCATCAAATGACTGTCATTACAGACCAAATGTGTATCGCCCCCCTTCTCACATATACGCGCATTGATATGCTCTTTCGTATCATTGACACATTGTCATTTACTCAAACACGATCCGCTATGGAGCCGCCACCAAATCTTTAACCTGACAACAGCCTCATGCCAAAACCCTATGCTGATGATTCCTTGTCGTGCAACGGGGTTCCATGGAATTTCACCATTGGTAGGAAATAGAATAATGAGCTACTGATCCAAAAACACTAAATGTTCGTATGGATTTATTTTTCCCACATGACTGAATCAAAAACAATAACACCATCACTCGGGCACCCACCAGATGTCTGGATTAAAGTAGCTTCTATTGGCCCTTAAAACAACACCTCTTAGCCGGGTCTCGGAGGTCACCCGTACTGCAACCATGAGATATAGCCACATCGTTCTTTCAGTCGGCTACGCTGGACACCGGAAAGGCAGTGCATAACACCAGGATGTCTAAACAAACTGGCAGATGTCCGTCTTACCTTTATCTGTTGTGCCAATATCTGGCCTCGTAACTCTGTTTCACCCTATATGGTGCGGAGTCGGAGTACTGGTCACTGCCTTGGCTTATCTCGTGACCCAGGTAAATTCTAATTATCCCCACTAATTACAACCTATTCATGCCTTCACTGCTACCAGAAACGACAAACGCCCCAGTTATATATATATATATATATATATATATATATATATATATATATATATATACATTTATATATATATATATATATATATATACCTTACCCCTAGTGTATTCCACATTTCTAGCTGAGCTACTAGGATTGTTAACAGGATGGAAACACTCTCTCTCTCCAAACCACTATCCACTTTGGAGTAGTTGGAGGAAGAATGCCGGAACAATTCGGTCAGTCGATGCAACCTAGAGCATAGAGTGTTTCCGCTGGATCGAGTGTTCAGCACAAACCTGTAGTTTTAGATAACTGCAACTAGTGTCTACCTTGAAGGCTAAGAAAGGGAATCGGCGCCAACTGATTTTTCAAGCATGAAAATGTAAACGTACATACAGATCTTGCACATGCTCCTATGGCTAGCAGGGATGGGTTAGAGGGTCTTGTGTTAACCGCCTTAAATCTACTCTTTGTGTACGGTTCTAAGTGTTCTGTAGTGGAACTTGAAACATTGTGACTTACGTACTGTCTTCGGTACAACTTTGACGCGACAATGCAATTGCGGTTGACTAAGTTGTGGTAGCGGATACGAATCTTGAGTCGAGCTCGGGGTTTCTTCTCCTGGGCTCTGAAATAGATAAAGTATGGGTGATAATATCTTAAAATAATAGCTCAGATGGACTGTAACGAAATCACCATTGTTTGGTCGTTTCAGCTGCTACTGGTACTATCGATAATAACTAACGACCCTATCTGAAGTTGCATATTGAACAGACCCATAAAGCTGTTTTATCATCTGAATACACTCTCTGAAATAGTTACCTTTGATGTACTTGAAAGAACTTCCAGTAATTCATCACCAAACAGCTGAGTCATGACCAAACAGGTAGCCATGTAAGCCATTACCAGAATATATAGGTGTTTGGTGGAACTGCCTAGATTAATCTCACGGCTCCGTGCAGCTTAAGGATTTAGTTGCATCCGGTAACAACATCGGGGTTACCGTTTACTTGTAATTGTATGCCAACAATGACACAGATTGGCTGACGGCATACGCCGTAGAGAATCTGTGAAGGCTTATGTAATCACAACCGCCGCAGGGTGTTATGTACGGGCAAACTTAGTCAGATGAGACTGAGAAATATTGGCTCATAACTTATCTATATGCTAGAAGCAGGAGTTTTCGAAAGGAATGGTCAACATTGATGGGAAAATTTTTCCGTGTCGTTGAAGAATGACCACATATTGGCTGGATGTCTAGTGAAGACAAGAACACAGGCGCGAAGTGGTTAACTCTCTGCCTTAACAGGCTAGTTATGCTAGTAACCTGGTCAACTAACTCACATGGCAAGAAAAAGCTTGGTTTTCATAGGTAGTCTACACGGGGACCACAATAGCAACAATATTGCATCGGGTCGCGCTTCATAACTTTCGGGGGCGTTAATTATTCATAGGACGCCTGTACATACTACTCCAGAGGGTTATATGGCCGAATACGGATAGTGGTACTTAAACATTGGCTGTGCGTTACATCGCTATGACTACTCCATCCGCTGTCGTCCATGGATGAGTTATCCAACTCGGCTGTAATTAATTCACAGAGCAATATCTGCCCCAGGTTAAGTGCATTCTTGTTTAGTCTAGCAAGTGACACACGCATTACATGTAAGCCAAGAACGCCAGTATACTGTTTACTTCGGACTATAATAATTCTTGCATCTGTAGCCTAACACACTAGTCTATCACCAAGATTAATTGACCGTTAAACTTCTACAACAGTTTTTCATACGGAGCAAATACGCTGATTTTTAACTGTCTAGTTGATTTGAGTAATTGAGGTCATAACTACCTGAGCGGTCACTACCAAAGTAAAAGGACAACATCGAACTTAGTTCTTTGTTAATGCTTGAGGATCTCCTCCAGTTAAATTGCATTCGTTGCTATTGATCAGCTTCAGCAATATCTATAAAATCGCCGATAAATATTCGATGTTGAGGGTCATGTTGAAGTACACCTTGTGAGGATTGCGACACGCAGTCTCAATGTTGACCGCGATTCCCGTTAAACTGAACCTTGGTCTTCGATCACGCGGACCGTAGCTTATGCAAATAGCAATTGGGTGTTGCCCGGTGGCTTAAGGCTAGCTGTCACAAATAAAATCCCAATGATCCCGGGTTCGATGTCTGCTAACTCTATCTGAAGTGATGAACTAACACCGAGCGCGTCATGGCGGTGCAGTGTTTTCGGACGGGTAACACCCAATTTCCATTTCTTTTTGATCCAAACAATCACAGCCGTCTTAGCAGACTCTCAGACAAAGCGTTACGTGAGTCTCGGTACCTACATGCATGCATGATCGCATCTGTAGGAAGAAGTGTATTTGGTACCTTCGAATGACTACCCCATATACGCCTCTATAAGAGACTGGGAGTTTGCAATTTGTGTCAATTCGTCACGTGCTACCTGCGCTCAGTTGCCACTTACTCAGTAGAAGGTTGATTGGTTAGCCAAACTTTGAATGACGAAGAACTCATAGGCAGGCGCTCATCGACCATTAAGCCTGATATAGTCTACCATTTATGCGATGAAGTTGACTAATATTGGGTAACGATGGGAGTATCGAGGAAGCTGACAGATGAAAACTGTCTTTACTTCACAAGATGGTTGTTTGTGCTTGCAAGATGTTAACAACTTGTCTGTACTTTTGCTTGATTGATTGTTCCAGCATTTGGGTTCTTTATTGGGTCCCCCTTGTTGTATCTGCCATACCATCCGCGACTGAAATTCATAGTGGTTCACAGTAAAAGTTATGGTGTTCTACGGGGTTATCGAACTATCGCTCTCTTGTCCCAATAACCGCTTGGACCACTACTGGCTGATGTGTTCATGAGCAAATTAGAGAATACTTATCTGAGCGGAGTCATTACTAGCCTACCATACTACGGACGATATGTGGATGATATATTTTGCGTGACAGCCAGACATTGTTGCTCAGAGACAATTTTATCCTATTTTAACTCAGCGCACCCAAATGCCAAGTTCACTCTAGAAACTGAAAGCAATGACACGATGTCCTTCCTAGACGTTCATCTTAGTAGGAGACCAAATGGATCAGTCCAACGGAGGGTACATAGAAAAGCAACGTGGAACGGACAATATGTACATTTTGCCAGTTTTGTCCCAATAAATCAGAAACGCAACTTGATTAGATGTCTAACCGAAAGGGCCAGAAGGATTTGTAGTGAGGACACACTTGCGGACGAGCTCCGTTTCGTAAGTGGCGTCTTCGGGAGAAACGGCTATCCAGAAAAATTTGTTCGGAAATATATTGAATGCAGAGAAACGAGAGCTAAACCAGCTTCGGTAGAAAAGAAACCGGTTTATTCGTCGTTACCATTCAAGGGGGACGGTATAGCGCAGGCAACAGCAAGGAGATTATCCGACGCTATGTGCCATACGTACTACGCAGCGAGCTTGCGGCTAAGTTTTACTTCAACACCAATCGTGAGGCCCCAACTCAAAGACAGACTTCCTTGGTCATGTACTTCTTATTGTGTATATTCCTTCTCTTGTTCATGTCGAGCAAGATACATGGGAAGAACTACAAGGAGGCTGTCTGAGAGAATACGCGAGCATTGTCCAGCTAACCTACGCAATGGTTCGAGAAAAACTGTGATGAGCGCCGTGTTGGCACATTTGGTTGATTCTAATCACCAAATCGACACCCACCAATCTTTCCAACCCATTTACCGCGTACCTGGACGTCTTTCACGCGCGGTAAAAGGTCGCCTACTAGCAGCAGCTGAGGCAATTGCTATCCGCCACCAGAACCCAGACTGATGTGCTCAAAAACGATTCGTTCAGATTCCGTATTTGCCCTGGCCCTCTATCACAACGACTCGTTGAGGGACATGCCGGCGATAGTCCATCGATCACTTCTGATCTGTTTTCCAATGACCTTGAAGTTTGAACTCTACCATTATCTGCTGTTTTATGTTAATCTTATCCCTATCATTTGTGGTGTTTTAGCCTGATGAGAGCCACCGAAAACGAGCTTGTTCGCTAACTTGTCGTTCTGATATGCTTATTTAGCCTAGTGCCGAGCTTTCTTCCTGTCTGGCCCACATAGTATTTGTTGCAATTTTTGCAGTGGATTTTGTAAATCACACCACTTGTTTCTTCTTTGCCAAGCCTGTCCTTACCATTGAAGTGCTTGTCTCGGATGGTTTCCGTCAGCTTGTGAGCAACTCTGATTCCGAAAGGTGGTAGCCGTCTCGCCGCCATCTCAGAGACACCAATTATGTATGGTAGAATGATTGTCTTTTTATCTGTTTCTGATGTTTGTTCATGCTTTATTGTTGTTTAACAACGTAGAATGAAATTCCTAGGATACCCCTTCCGTGTAAACATTTTGAATTGATGATCTTCCTCCGTTTTTCTCAGCTGCCGGGTGCTGCAATGTGTCTGCGCTCTTTCAAATAGAGTTGTTAGGCAGCTGCGCTTGTAGACTGTTGGATGATTGCTGCGATAATTCAGGATTTGGTCTGTATGCGTCGCTTTCCGATAAACCGTTGTCTCCAGTTGTCCAGCAGCATGTCTTTTTACTAACACATTCGAGAATGGTAGCTAACCATTGTTCTCCTCTTCTTTAGTGAAACGGATACCAGTAAACGTGTTGTTTATTAACTGATGTGTTTCTTCCAGTTTCGAGCACTTTAGGATGACAAAAGTATCGTCCACGTAGCGTAGCCAGAGTTTAGGTTTTGCGACCGGGAGTGCGGTTTCCTCCAATGCTTGCATCACCGCTTCGGCCACTAGTCCAGATATCGGTGAACCCATTGGCGTGCCCGTTATTTGTTCGTAGGTTTGGCCGTTGGAACTGAAGTGTGTCGTGAGGCATAAATCCAACAACCCCATCTTGTGTATGGCGTCTATTTTATGGTTCGTGTCTGAGGATCCGCGTTGGTGTAGTAGTGTTGCCATCGTTTGCTTCGCCAGCTTGGTGTTGATTGAAGTGAACAAATCTGTTACGTCAAAGGAAACCATGATTTCGTCCTCTTCTATTACTGTTTCCCTGATCTTAGCCAGGAATTGTTCTGCAGATTGTATAGAATGTCCCGAGCCAGAGATCAGGTGCTTCAATCTTTTCCAGAGTTCCTTGGAAAGTTTGTAATTCGGACCTCCAGGTAACGACACGATAGGGCGGAGGGGGACTCCACTTTTGTGAACTTTTGGCAGGCCATAGAATCGCGGTAGCACCGAATCCTCCGGTTTCATCTTGCTTTGTTCTAATTTTGTAATTTGTCACATTTGTTCCAGATTTTGTAGGGTGCGTTTGATTTTGCTTTCCAGTCGTTTTGTGGGATCTTCGTTTAATGGTTGTTAGGTGTTCATATCTTGAAGGAGTTCTTGCGCTTTCTTCGTATAATCAACATTGTCCATTACAACAGTAAGACGTCCTTTATCAGCCGATAAGAGAACGATATCTTTAGCTTTCCTAAGGTTTCGCAAAGCTTTCTGTTCAGTTGTGTTGAACATGTTGGTTTCACTCTTGTGCCTCAGGTCTAGAATGATACTGTGTCTGATCGTGTGTTGGGCGTCAGCTGTGATCTTGCATGAGCTCAGTGTTGTCTCAAGCTCTGCGAGGGAATTGATGGGATTGGAGTCTTTGTAGTTGAATTGCATGCCACGAACAATTACTGCTTTTTCTACATCCGACAGGGTTCTTCTGGATAAATTTTTAATCCACGCATCATCTTGATTCACTGCTTTAGGTTTCGAAATTCTCCCTAGTTTCTTTTCCAGTTTCTGCTTTGTGTAGAGTTTGGTGTTATGCGTTTTGATGGATATCGCCTTTTCAAGCTCTTTAGTCATTTCTGTGCCGCGGTTGGATA